CTTTCATGCCATCATGTAATAAATAATGTAGACCACATTTCCGCCATATCCATTACTTTTAATTGAATTAATGTTTAAAACCATAGTAATCATTCTAACACAATTTATAGCCTAAAAATATAAAAATTATGAGATCTTGAAACAGATTGAACATTTGAATATATTATACGAATATTGAGACGATTTCTAGCTAAGTACCCAAGTTATTGTTCATATTGACCAATTCAAACAATGCTTACTAAAGAACAAATTCAACTTTCTAACCAGTTATAACTCAATAATAATAGAAATCGTGTGTAAACAGCCCTACGTAACAAATCAACAAAAAAAACGAACTACGCTAGGACAGCCAAGCTCCGACGAAGCAACCTGTTTGATCGAGCTGCCACGGACGCCCACGGCTCACAAATCCGCGCCCGTTCGTTACTATACAATACACAACGCGTCATATACATAGCTATCTATAGATAGTATCCATCATCTAGCTATAGATACCAACTTGTATAGTATGATGAAAAAATAAAGACACTTCAATTGAACTGACTAGTAACTACTAGCTGGAATGTTTCGTCAGCGTTTTGATAACGCTATGTCGTCATACGGCCTATCCTATTCAACGAAATGACGTCACAAATTAAACACTACTCAGTTATAAGTACATTTTCCATAAATATATTATTTTAAAGTAAATTTCGTAGTGAACATTAGTATTAGTAACTGACATTATACAGTATATCATTTTACCTACTTCACTTATCCTTACGCAGCCTTCCACTTAGATCATTACGAGTCATACAAAGGAAAAATATCTCGTCTTCCCTTCCTGAACCGTATCCCTATAATTTACATTCTTCAATACGAAGAATGGACCAATCTTGAGTGCCGTTGGGTTGATTTTCTCGTATGTCTATTGACGTAATGACGGCCACGATTTCTCGAGACCCTGGATCGTGACCCGAGGCCTCTCGTCATTCCCACGAGCCTAAGGCAGCAACGTTTGGGTAACATTTGCATTGAACAAGTCTGGAATCGACAATCTTTCTGGGTGTTTCCAACAAACATAAAAGCAAGTGTAATTTCCCATTTGAACAAGTTAATTTTCGTTAATGTAATGGACGCTAAACATGTTATATACGCATTGCACCTGCGGCTATAAAAACGGTAAACAAGTGCTTAACGTTTTCTTATAAAGAAAGACACGCTCCATGATTATCTATTCAAGTTGCGCATTGTTGTTTCCTGGAGGACTGCCCAGACGCAGTCGGTAACTTTAAAGGCGGTGGTGACAGACACCCCCGCCGCGACGCGCTCTACCGAGTCACGCCGTGATTGCAGTAGCGTGACTCGAAAAAAGCTAACTTAACGACAGAGGACTCTCCATTTTCCACGGAACCTTTTAATTTTTTATCTTCTACAATCAAGAATTCTAGTCGTCAACGAGAATCTTGCAAGAACATTGAACGCAGTCTACGATGCGCGTGCGCCGCATAATGCGCATCAATTTACAATGCATTTGAACAATTTATATCGTAGGTAAGCACAAGTAACACTCATAGAATATTATCTAAAATTACAAATCAGGTACCGACGGATTTCAAATAGCGTTTCAAATTGTTGAATTTAAACAAGACCTTCGAGATATGCAAATCTGTTACCAACGGCCGCGTTGGTTTATGTCAAAATCTTAAAATGTCGACTCATAACTGCTTGATTTTAAAACTGGATGCACGCTAAACATATTATATGTAGTAGGTACTTCGCAGGAGAAGAGTTGTGCGCCCGCGCAGATATTTAGGTCGACAAAAATAACCGCGACGCGAGCCGACCAATAAACGGACTCACAAACACTTGTTGTAACTCTACTAAAAGGTTATTAGTTTCAAATTAAATTGAAATTAAAGCGATAACTATAATGTTATACATGTATATGATATAAATATCATAATTAATTTATATATGTCTTTGAGTATTTGATTAGTGAAATTTTAGGCTAAAATATTAATAGCTTCAATATTAATCATGTCCGTTGATATTGTAAAGTAAGTTTACGTTACGCTATGGAAATTACTTATACGTGATAAAAGATTGATAATAGTAATAATGTGTGCGAGTTGTTTGCAGAGACACGACCATGCCCGGCGCACGCGCACGCTCTCAAGGCCATTTTGTTTACATATACACCCGCATGTTTACGCGTACCCGTTGTGCTACCCGGCCGACCTATAAAACACTCCGTTTAATATTCAATAAACTGATCGAGACCACTTCGCGAATCCCCCGGATTATACGTGCAGAAAATAGCGGGAAACGCTCCATTGAACGTTTGGCGGGAAACGTCTTGCATAACATAATCACGTGAAAGTATTTTCTCCGGATTCAATGCTTATTTATTAATAAGATCAGGATTTAATGAAAATTGTCGAGTATATGTTTACGGTGTATAGACACTTCTGTTATTTTTACACATTACGTTACAAAATGTGTATTTGTTTGGACTCACGTGGTCGTCTGTTGAGAATTTGGCGGGAGTCCGGCGTGGTCCACCAGTCGACCTTGGTGCCACGTGACGTCACTGACATAGTTCCAGACTGCACAACCGCCGCCACTTTTTGCCATGATTCAGATATTAAAACCGCTTCCGTGCGTTCATATTCAACACCTATAGCCAGTATATTCAAATTACAATTTATGAAATCGAATACAATGGATGGCAATTCAAATTTAGTCAATTTTGTGAAACATGAATTATAAATTAAACTTAAGTATTTAAAAATCTTAAATATTATACGTTGTTTGATTTTTTATCATGTAAAATTTTAAAGCTACTACTAACCTACCATCAATTTTTATGAAGGTTAAACGTAATTTTTGGACAATTGACAAATTGGCATCAATTCTGTCTTGTTTTTACCCATTTAATAATATATATTTAAAATTTAAGAGATTTCATACTGAAATGAGCCTCATCTACTAATAACGATTGTTAAATCTGTTGATGAGTATAAAGAAGTTGCAATTTTTTTACTTTTAGTGTAATATGTTATATACGTCTTAGCTCACTCTACACTACATGAACAATTTTAAATTAACCATTCAAATATATTGAGTATAGTTACACATTTTATGAAAATTTACAAATACTGCAAACATTCCATGCCTTCGGTGTATAGTAATAAAACATTTTAAAATAAATATTAAAAGCGTGTACCTTGTCATACGTAATTTTTGACCTTGGTTAACACCAATAGCTATATTGACTCAAGGCTTGTTTTATTTTTCAATTAGATTTCATCTTATATCTTTATTTATAAAATATAGACTTATGTTAGCGAAAGCGTGATGCCATTCCAATTGTGGCATAGAAACATATAATGCCTAACGTTTGAGTTTCGACCTTGGCATCATCGCGTGTTCGCCCGTTTTTTGTTCATAATTTGGCGATTATCAATGTTAGCTGATCCACTACTGATTTGCTTCTGTTTTATTTGTTCGTTCGTTTTATTTTCTATATTATATATATTGCGTTTTATGTTTTCAAATAAATCATTATCATGATTGCTGACAGCTATTGATTATTTATAAACAAAATCACATAAATTATTATACTTATCCAGTATATTAATAGATATTTAGGTCGGCTTCTCCGATGTGAATCTGTTATATCCTAATGACGTGGGTTTTTAGGAAATCGTAAGTTGATGTAATAAAAGAAACCTATCTAGTAGTTTAGGCTCTACGTTGATAGAGCCAGTCAGTTCTTAAGTATGTCGTTTTGAGAGGATCTGCATTTACAGATCTACTACGATGACAGAAATAATAATTTATATAATTCCAAAAAACTTAATTAATTAATAAGGATGAGAGAGGCAAACGAGAAAATTGGCAAAGTTGTCAATAATAGGTAATTTTTCTTTCCAAAAGTAAATATTGTGGTTCATAGTGTGTGAAATTTGAATAATGATAACAGTTTTGTTTCAATGAATAGTACTGGCACAGTCATAAAACTTAAGATAAAAGTATGTAAAGATCTTAAACACGTAAATGAGCACAATGTATAAAACGATAATTGTATAAACTATCTATAGAATAATGCGGCCATAGCAGAATCTTACTATTGTTTGATACTTATAACTTTAGGTATACGTGTAATTATCTCTCGTATTATATTACAAAAAACAACGATACGGCTAAAATTGACTGTCGTAGACCGATTGTAGACAGCGCGTAACAAGATAGCTGTACATAATGTCGCCATGTAGACTCGCCCGGCGATAGTGTGCTGTATGGCTTTAGTATTATTATAACAGAATGACACAAAAAAAGATATTAAAATTTTATGGTTACAAGCTCATAATTCTTTAAAATTAGAAATGCTCAAAGGCTGTCGCCGCTGAGAATTTCAAAGGGTTCCGGTGCATTAAGTGGTACATAACTCATATGTATTCCTATAGATATGGTCGTAAAATTCGCCTTTTGCCCTATGAATTGGTGAACGGGCATCCGGACTCTGGAGTAACGAACATTCTTGCGATCATAAAATTTTACCAATTGCCACGGCCAACGGGCACGCCCACTGTGTGTTTTACGACTTGTTTTATGCGTTGTTACATCGGTAACTACGCCGTGCTGCACCCTTTCACAATGTCTATAATAGACGATATAATGCACTTTGCAATATTTCAATGATTTTCTTTATCATTATTATTTATTAACGACGTCTTACGATATCTTATATTAATTCTCCTTACTTTAATTTGAGCCTTAAGACTAATTTATAGCACAACTCTTTAGTTTATCTACCATACTGCTTAATCCTTTTACGTTTATAGTTCGTTTAAACCCAATAAAAGTCGAGTTAAGTTAAATTTACTGCAATATTATTCGATTGTGTAATTAAGCCAATTGTGCTTTTATAAGACATCTGTCCATAGAATTAATGACTGTTACGTACCTACTATATTTAGTTATAGAATCTCAATGGTATTGTTTCTTCTTTGCAGATTTTATGAAGACTCGCAAGCGATTATCGAATACGGGCAAGAAGTCACCGTCGCACTCACATAAACACGAGTGCGGGCATGGCGCCCACATCCGTCCCCCGAAGGTGGCGAGGCGCATTTCAAACGAACCAGCTAGGCGTCTGCTCTGATCCACATCCTGAACTGGATAAAACATCGAATATCTTTTTACCCGGCAGCTACACAGATCATGATAGAACAGTGTAATGTACTAACTACATCATGGATTCTTTTTTCTTTTCCAGTGGGAGTTGCAATGTGTACATTTTTTCTTAATTTATTTTGGATGTTATAACTTTTGATTGGAAAGCACGCGTGAATATAATAATGTTAAGTAATTTGTAAAAGACTGTCAAATGTAGTTAGTGGTTTCGTTATTTTATAATTCAGGACAGAGATTTTTATATTACGATCTATTAGAATCCACTAACACATTTCACAAATTCTCGATTATAAATATTAATTGTCTTGTGAATGAAAATAGTTCTGTTCGTTAGGTTAGCCTCTGAACGTATATTAACCTGAAGTTTCCATTTTGCCACATCACAATATGGTATCGAAACAAGAAATGGGTCAATTCAACGGCGCACTTTCCTTTCGGAAGGTGCGATGTTCAAATTGTCTCATGTTTCATTTGGCATTATAGCAATCTGTTTTCACAATGCGCTATTATGTTCAAACGAAATATCTTTTACCATAATATATTATATTCTTTAAAGCGTTGCAATAATATAACATAATTACTGATATTAATTTATAAGTTTATTATGATGATCTCTTTGAAAAATAAGTAACTTAAGTTATTTAGGTTTAGTTTTAGAACGATAAATGTTAGAAAGTCCAAATATAAACCTCAGTTTAAATTCTTCTAAGCTTACGCCAAGCGCGTCTATAAGGTACATAAGGTTCACAAACTCATTATTATTCTTTTTTGTTATATTTCGATGAACGGTGGAAATGAAATTTCTGCCTAAATTTATCTTAATATTTCAATGCAATTATATCACTTTCTTCAGAAAATTGGTTTCTTTTGCGTCTTTGTTACGCCCAAATATTATTTCTCAGGCATTTTGATTAAACTTTTCAGAAAATTTCTAAAATCATTTTTAGCTAGACAAATGTGGGCGTATCTGGTGTTGCGTTCACCACAACGTCGACAGTTGTCAATGCTACTGTTTACCCCATCAAGGATATCGTCGTGACGGTATATTAATTATTTTATACATTTAATCTGAATACAATAAAATTAACTTGATTTTTATAATTATTAAAAAAATATATTTTTGAAATTCAATATTTGTATACTTAGAGTACAAAATTTTGGAAGCCCTGAAAATAATGAAGCGTGAAGGATGCATAAGACATTTTTCTATACATTACAATATCAATATTTAGCTTAAGCGAAATACAAATACTCAATGAGAGGATTACACGAGTAATAAATATATTGACAATATTTAAATAAACTTTAATTAGATACAATAATAATAATAATAATGCTTTGAGTATTTGTGTTTTAATTCTACTCCCATTACAAAATTAGGTTTATTTAGCACATATTCTAGGTATGTTTGTTTTGTTGTTGTATTTTAATGGATTATATTGACAATTGTTTTTAATATTCGATATCTAAAAGTTTAACTATAATTTATCCTGTTTGAATATCGCATGAAACTGTTTCCGTGGACACATTTATAGTATAATTCGGTAACTAACCGCGGCCCTTTATAAAAAGTACAAATTATTTTCACGAGCTCTAGGTAAGAGGGTCGAGGTCAACACAATGCAAAAAGACAAAATATCATTTATCATTTCATCATTATGTTTAGGTATTTAAAACGTTATATTATAATTTTAGTAAGTGGTATGTTACATACATTGGGTATGTTTTTTTATTTGATACAGAAATGTATAATTATGTATACCGAGTGCATAACCAAAGTACTCCGTCGACATGGTTCGAGGAGGCCAATGAAATATTAAATGAACTTGGATTTGACAATGCAGAATCATAGCTATTTACAATAATGTAATGTTACTAAAGCTGCTGATATACAGTCGGTTTGTTGTCAAGTTTCGCGAATGCCACTATCGTTTTGAAACACTGCAATTGGCATATTAGGTTGGGTATACAACCTGCCCTCTTTGGAGATGCGGCCAATCAGATCGACCGTTTGTCGTATTCGGGCCACCTGACAAATGCCCGACTGTATATCGGCAGTCTAAAACGTGTATATTTCTTTGACGTGTGACAAGTGTTCGTTTAATTTATAGCATGTTTAAATTGACGTTATCCTTGATTATATGAATTATGTACTTGTGTGGCCTCGCAAATGAATGCAGTTCATATTTATTGAGTTTTAAACTTATATTTATGTGTCGATTTGTAGTCTCAATAAACTGAGACTAGATAACATACATAAATACTTACATGGAATACATATTATGGACGTAAAATTTAAATAGACTCAGTAATAAATGTTCTAAAGTATGATTCATGATACACTTGATTTGTACTGAATTATAATGCTTTCCTCATTACATACTCTTAATATAAAATAACTTATAAGAACACTACTTTTACTTCATTGCAAATATCTGGGATATTTTGTAAAATAGGGAGAAAATTGTATTACAAAATACAACTTTATAAAGCCTTCGTTAGCGAGACCACACTTAAAAGTTTTGATATAAAATTTGTTATGTAATATTTTTATATGAGAATTCGACGCTTTATTAGAAATACGGAAGAAATCTGAGTTTATATACAAAACCAGATTAACCAATATTTTCAATGTTCCAACTTCATAATAACACACTTGTATACCTGTAAAATTCTTAGAACTCGATCCAAAAACGTGTAATTTTAATTTAATATTCTAACACCTGTGATGTATTAAATATGATCTCAACCATAACTTAAATATACGCAATGTCATATTTGTTTAAAATAGTGTTACACTAAGTAAAGACACTGGTATCCCTGTGGCAATGTGTGAGAAACAATTTAATACATCAGTTAATTTTATATTGTTTAAACGTTAACGTAGTTAGAGCCTTCTGTTCGGAAATATCTGGAATCGCAAAAGGTGGCGGCGTGCTGAACTTCGAAGCACTGTACATAATATGCACGCACGTGTATTTATTGAGGACGGAGTCACCGCGCCGCAGCGATAGTTAGGGGATACGAAAATTATTAATATATAACTATAGTATATATATATATTTAAAGCCGCAGAGGCGATATAAACGATATTGTGCCAAATAACTGTAATTGTCACAATATATTGTGCGTTTCTCTCAAATTGGGCGTAGTTATTTGGTGAACTAACTTACGTTTGGTTTGCCCATGATATATATACGGTTTACATTATCGTAGTTCTCTTTATATTATATTGCTGATGCTTATTTAGTGTCTACTAAATTACTATTAATTATAGTAGCAAATTGCAGTTTAAAAATATAATTATGTGTATGAATATTCTACTAAAATTGTTCCGCCTGAAATATTTGTTGAAAACCGACAAATTAAAATATTTTTTTATTCGATTAATGCGATAGTATATTAGTTTATGCCAAAAAATTTGTTTAAATGGAAAAATATAAGAGAACTATGTTTATTGTAACCAATACAGTGCGCGCAAACCACTACCGTTGTATATATGCGCGAGAAATTCATTCATAATTATATTATAGTGTTTCAATTAAGTAATATGTTTCATGTATAAACTGTAATTTAGTAAAAAAGCTTATTCGATAGCTTTGGTTGTTTTTTTTTATATATATATCCCCACCTCCTTAGTCGAAAGGATATACGCAGTTTGAGCAGGGAAGAACGGTCGCTGTGAAATAAACCACGCATGGTGTTTCTAATTGGGCCAATAAAATTATACAATTCTTTGATGATATAATCTGAATGCAGCGGTCTGTTTTAACGGTATGATGCTGTTAGTCCAGAATAGCACTTTAATAGGTCCGAGACTTAATTACAATTATGTAATGACTTATATATGAAACAGTTCTTTTTTATGGATGACAATGAAATGGTTCACGCTGGCCGGACACCAGTGGAGGATGATAAGATGAGCATGAGGTCAGGTCAGCTAGCCGATCGTGACAAATTCAACAAAATAATATCATGATGGTGTCCAGGGGGAGCCGCATGCAAGTCAACTTGACATGGTACATTGCTAGCAATAAGATCACCAATCCACATTACTAACACTCCTCTTTCCCTCCTATGAAACAGATTAAATCACACCATTTTGTAACAGTTGCAATTTCAAACCGCCCAACTAGCTCGCATCTGCAACTCTTAATATTAAGTTCCTAATCCATTCGAAAAATTTCTTTTTATATGTAAGTGATTGATTTTTCATCGAAGGGTGACCTTCGAGCCTACATCACCACTCAAAAAAATCTGATCGGTCATGTCCTTGAGGAATCGGTGATAAAGGTTGGCATTGACTTATCATGGCGGGAAAAATTCACGCGCTACTAAAATCAATTTAATTTTAATGGCCGACTTTTTAAGATTAAACGCGCTCCGCTCAACATGTGACCTGGCGTGCAAACAACACATCGGTAACAAACAATACATAGAAAACAGCCAGACAATACAAACAATCATACCCATGAATACAAATGTTTGTACCGCGCGAGGAATTGAACGCACGATAATCGAAAGAAAAGCGGCGTGCTAAACCGCTGCCAATCTGAACCGAAACCACATAGGCCGTCAAGGAATGGAACTTTAATGGTAATAGGAACATAATGAAACAAGTATATTGGATGCTCGTATGAAAATGTTTACTGATATCACAATCAATTCTACACAACTACCCGATTACCCATCACCTTCGTGTACACGCCCAATGGATGATACATAGAGATACACTTTAAATTAGTACAACGCCCCAACACAGCCGGCGACACTGGCGTACACGTAACACTAAACACAATTTATTTACTCATGAAACAGTGACAATACCTGGATAATATGCAATACATCTTTCTGGCGTGCTATAAAAGTTTTTATTTACCTAAATCGCTAGTACATACACCCAGACACACTCATTTATACCATTTAATGATTCGTGACAAGCAGTAACGTTGTTAATTTAAAGTACATTAATTGGAAATGATATAAATGTGTATGTTGCGTGTAAGACAATTCCAGCTACGTGTTCACAATAGTTCAGGAGTGGTAAACAGTAAAAAAAATTCTACTCGAATAGAAAATTACTTGCTAATCAGTACAGTACTATATTTGATTGAAAACATTAATAAGTTCACAATATGAAAATTAGTATTAAAATTTATATTAATTAAAAAAAAGATCAACCACAAGGATTTAATTAGTATTAAAGTAAAGCGTGCAAATATTTTGATTGAAATTAATGAATTTAGAAAAAGAAGTTATTGTCTCAAAGTAGGTACATCTTGGCTTTTCATTATACAATATTACAATGTAGGTATACAACAATTTGTTTGTTTGTAACATCGCAACGCATGGAGCCGGAGCATGCACGCAAAACGATCTTGAGACTTGTAATAAATACAATAACTATACAAACACTATGTACAATTACATTAATAGAATATTACACTTAGGCACATCAATTGTTATAAAATTACGATTTAATTCGAAAATGTGATCCTGTCACCGATATTTGACTATACTACCACGAATCTAATACAAGTGATTAATAAATATACGTGGGGTTCAAATGTTAGAAATTAACGAAAATGTATATTTAAGAATTTTATTAATAATTAAAATGAAAGTTACTGAAGAAATCTCTCTAGCTACTACAACATTTATTTAACTTTTAAACAATTTGAATGCAACATCTTTCACTTATATAATACTTAGTATATAAGGAGAGAGCTTTAAAGCATTGCAGACTGCTGGGAATGTATGATAAATTTGTACTTTTAATTTCCCTTAGTTACGCAGTATAATC